ATCGGAAAATCGACTAATTTTTGTTTATTAAATGTTAAAGTATTGCAAATGTTTGATTTGATCATTGACTATTTTTTACAGTGCATAAAAGCTCAAGATTGTGCAATTTGTTGACCTTGCATTTGCATTAATCATCATTGATTGATCACTGGACCCGACTAAGTACTGGCCTCTAGAGAGCCGAAGCTTTTGCGGTAGCAGCTCGGGCAAGAATTTGATATCAGTTGAATGAATGAATGAATGAATGAATGACTGACTGACTGACTGACTGAATGGCCGGGTGACTAATTAGCGCGACGAGAGCAGAAGGAGGAGATCCAGCTTATGCGGCGTATATGGCCAGCATCCGATCCGCCTTGATTGATGGCACCGCGAAATTCAAGAACACAGCTGCTGTCAAGTCATCGCGAAAAGGATTAGTTCGGTGCGACGGGATCGGGATGCGATGCGATCAAATGGTGCCGACACATCAGCTTCCAGTGCAAAGTTGACACTGGCAAAGTTCGCGCTGCGGGCTTGATGGATCAGCGGGTTTTTGGAGGACCCAACTCCAAAGCATATTCCATCAGCTGTCACAAAATATGTCACTGTCAGTACCGACGAGATTTGCGCAGAATTCTCCGCTTTCCCGCAGTTTCTTCTTAGTTTTCGGGGCGAAATAGGCCCGACGCTCCTCTCATTCGCTCTTCTTCGCTTTTCGGGGAGATTGACAAGGGAACGCTGCTAATCCAATTTAATTTGAATGTCAGTTCGTCTGGAAGACAAGACTCAACTCCAGTTGAGTTGATCCGACTCCCTAACTCTGGGGCACCAAGCACTCCAACCGGAGATGAAGATTCATGGGTATTAAGGAACTTCTTCATCTGATTTGCCTTTCACTCTTACTACTAATTTTATTGTTTTTGCTTTTGCTGCCACTGCCGCTGCTGTGGCGGCATTTCAAATTTGTTTCCCAGACACATGTTGGACTTAATTTGGTTCACTGAGTTTTTGGAAACGAACAAAAAGCCTTGACGGGAATTTTGAAGGCTCAAAAACAGAATGCACACAGTCAACAGAAGCTAAGGAAAAATTAAACTGCTCGAAATTCGATATGATTTGGATTAGCACAGTAGTTTGATTATGCTTGTATATCATCTGCGGTCGCGATTCGGTAGTCGATAAACAAAGTCGCCCAAAATTAAACCATTTAGAAAGGGACATCTAAAAAAGTCAATTTATAATATACATAGGAAAATATATCTGCACCATCAAATTTAAAATATTCTTTACTTAAATGTGTTTGCTTTAAATATACTTGATCTTTATATATTTTAATTTATAATTTATTAATAGGCTAAGCAATTTTCGAATGCATGATTAACCCACATAAAATAAAAAAAAAAAGTATATTTAAATTATTACGGAATTACGGTTTTAATGAAATTAAAATCGGATATTTATATCATATGGCTCCCATAGGAAAATCAACAAATGAAAAAAAATAAAAATGCTAATGAAAAAATTGTATTTTGCTGTTTTTCTCTTTATTAAAATATTTCTTTTAGTTGTAGTAATTATTTTTTATATAAGATTTACGCTTTTAGTTTTGTTAAAATCGGATAATAATACCATCAAGCATAGAAATCGAAATATAGTCTTGTTGCAATAACTGCAAGGGTTTATAAGCTTCTTCTTGCGGAAGTTTGTTTCTTTTCTTTGTTTTTATATTGAATTTGATGTGTGTAGGCGAAAAAAAGTTTATAAAGGTTCACTGAACAGCAAATAAATTGTACTCTTATTGAAAAATCTCTAAAAATAAATACTTAAATTTCATTATTACGGGGCTTACCTTTGATCACCTTTCACTCGAAACCGTAACACATTTCCTTGTTAGTTTGTGATCCTCAGAGCTGCCATGTTTCCAATGTCCCACAGTCGAACTTTTCTTTTGTCTTTCCGTGGCAAAGTCGGGACCTGTATTGTTCCATCATTTCGAGAACCCTTTTGGATTGTCCATCCATAATATTGATGCTCTGCCGGCATTGTTGTTCGCTGTGACATTTTTGGCGAGCCATTCCCTTCGAACTGCGAGTGCTGTCCTCTGGAGTAGGTGCCTTTATTTATGTTTATGGCTTATGAGACACGACGACACTGCATTGCATTAGCTGGAGCTGTGGCCAAGTCCCTGCTCCAGATGACACTGCAAGGAGGATAAAAATAATGGCGCACAATGTGATTTTTCCGTTGACATTTTGGAATTTGCTAAGCGCGCGCGCTCATGTCTCATCAGCTTGTTAGGGAGTTGCAAAATGTTGCAGCTTGTGATAGAGGACAAGATTCGAACTTGGAGAGGAGGATTCAACACAAGTTTGAGAGGGAAACGAACAACGATTGAAGGCAAAATCTACTTTACTTCTTAAGTTTATTTCTTATGTCTGACAATGAGACACAAAGCCATACATTTTTAATTTTCACGATTAATATGTAAATTTTGAAGTTCTCCTAAGAAAAAGTCCCCTGCAAACGTATTTTCCAGCATTAAATTATCCCTTTGAATGTAAGTACTCTTAACATATGCACAGTAAACTCCCGTGATATAATAAATTCAGAGTTATTTTTTTTAACCCGTTTATAGCACTTTTCGAATTAGTTGTCAAAGTGGAGTATGTCCGTTTTCTTGTTTTATTTAAGTACATTAGGTGCATTTAAGTTAAGTTGCCTCGAATAAAATGTTATAAGCATATATGTTATTACGGAAAAGTATTTTTTATTGAAATTTGAGAGCCTATTTCCTAAAACTAAAAGTTAAGTTTTCTTTGATTAAATTTACTGCACACCAAAGTCTATCATACTAAGGATTTTGGGTCGGTAGAACCCTGGATTGCCTTAATTGAATTTTTATGAATTGAAAAATGGACGGAATAATACACCTATCAGAAAAGATATAATTTAGAATATTTTTAAGAAATCAAACAAATCGGGATATTTATAGCAGAATCCTCAAAATCTGCATCCTAACCCGAATCGAACAATAATACCAGAGTACATACATATATCCAATTCCTTGCGATCACGAGTCACGAGGCCATCTCTAGTGCAAACCAGAGTAATCCGATCGATTGGGCCAAATAAAGGGGAAAGAGAGGCAGCAAGAGAGATGTCCATCGCAATTGCCTGGTGGTAACTGAGTTAGTAGCTGCTCCTCTGGCTCAGTCGCATCACCGATCGCAGCTCGATCCTCGACAATGACAACGACTTCGAGGATGAAGATGAGGATGAGGTTGGGACTGGGACTGGAGCCGAGGATTTGGATGTGGATGAGGATGAGGATGAGGATGAGGATGCGGATCAGGAGGAGACAGGGCCGCAGTCGCGTCTGTTGTTCCTCGCACGCGTGCGCATTTAACGAAATTTATTGGAGTCTTTGCTCTGGAATTTTGGGCTTGTGTTCTCTGTCTGTCTGTCACTCGCTGGCTGCCTTGGCCTTAGCCTTTTGGCTCGTTTGGCCAGAAGGCCTAAAGAGCCTGGCCAAGCAGAAGCTGGCTTAGAGCTCCGCTTCCATTGTTGTTTCACTCGCTTGATGCGATCGATTCGCGAAGAAAACGCATTGCCAACGGAGCACACAAAGTGGATAGTTTTTGCTGGTTGGCCTGGCTGCTGTCATCGGTTCGGGCATCCGCATCCCCGGAGCAGAGTCAAGTTTTTTAAATATTTTATCAGTCGACTGGAGTTTGGTGGAAAACGCTGATAAAGATCGCGCCACTTTTTTTCCCCCAGCCCGGTCGCGTAATGAGTTTGTTTCACAGCCTTTCGCAAAAAAAGAAAGAGTTGGCTGGAAAAAACTGCTAACGAATTGTCAGCGGAGTCATCTGACAATGTGATTAGTGGTGCTGAAGGGACTTAGACCTTGATTATTTAATTCCAAAGGAGATACTTTCCCAAGAAGTGTTGAAAAAGGAATGAAAAAAAAGTTTTCAAATATTAAATATATGCATTTCACATATCATTAAATACTTTTTTTAGAAAATAAATTTATAGTTGTTGTTATTTCAGTTCTATTTCTTTCTCATTTGATTTATTTTAGGGATTGCACCTTTATTATTTTATTCCAAAGGAAGTACTTTCCCAAGAAGTGTTGCAAGGGAATGAAAAAAAATTTTGTAAATATTAAATAGATGCAATTCATATTTCATTGACTATTTTTATCAGAAAATAAATTTATATTTGTTGTTATTTCAGTTTTATTTCTTTCTCATTATATTTATTTTGGGGATTAGACCTTGATTATTTAATTCAAAAGGACATACTTTCCCAAGAAGTGTTGAAAAAGGAATGAAAAAAAGTTTGCAAATATTAAATAGATGCATTTCACATTTCATTGACTATTTTTTTCAGAAAATAAATTTATATTTGTTGTTATTTTAGTTCTATTTCTTTCTCATTATATTTATTTTAAGGACTGGACCTTGATTATTTAATTCCAAAGGAGATACTTTCCCAAGAAGTATTGAAAAAGGAATGAAACAAAGTTTGCAAATATTAAATAGATGCATTTCACATTTCATTGACTATTTTTATCAGAAAATAAATTTATATTTGTTGTTATTTCAGTTTTATTTCTTTCTCATTATATTTATTTTGGGGATTAGACCTTTATTATTTAATTCCAAAGGAGATACTTTCCCAAGAAGTGTTGAAAAAGGAAGGAAAAAAAGCTTGCAAATATTAAATAGATGCATTTCACATTTCATTGTTTGCAAATATTAAATAGATGTATTTCACATTTCATTGACTATTTTTTTAAGAAAATATATGCATATTTGTTGTTATTTCAGTTCTATTTCTTTCTCATTATATTTAAATGTTTAATTTGTGTGTGTAAGCTATGGTTTATTTATTTTTCATTATATTTAAACAGTTTAATTTGTGTGTGTAAACTATGGTTTAGGAAAAGTGTTCTTGCGGATTGAAAAATATTCGTTTTTCGGTTTCACATGTTTCAGCAGTTGTAAGGCCCTTTATTTCTCCACCAGTGGCTCTTGCGTCTCTGGCTCATCCGATTGCATTTCGACGGCCACAGTTGATATTTGATGTCCCGGCACCATGACTTTCCCCACCGAAATTGGCTGCTCGCTTTCCGATACAAAGGTGCCACAATCGAAGAGCACCAGGTTCTCGTCGTGATCGGTGCAGCTGAAGATGCCGATCAAGACGAGCTTGTTCCGCAGCACCACGCGGATCTTTCGACCAAGCCACTTCTTCAGTGTCTCGCGACCCGGAGAAAGGGGATCCCCCTCGCTGTCCCTGTTGGTGACAATGATTGGCCTGAACTTGGATGGACAGCCTGGTGGATTGGCCCCTTCGTTGTCCATCTCCCTGATCGAATGATGAAGTTATTAATTTGGTCGGTATCAAATAGTTTCCAGAGATGCCTGCGATTGCTTGCTCCTGGCCTGCTGTATGCTAATTCAACCCCACAGAGCGCACAGGAATCCCTTTTTTGAGGGCCTGTCTCACGGGTATCTGAGCTCAGATCTTGCTGCACAATGCACAAAGCGCAAGAAAAAGTGTCGCCATCCATTTTGGACTTGTAAAAGTCGCTCGAGCCCCTGCAACACGAATGCCTATATAGCATACACATGCTGTCTTTGATGGGCCAGGCCAAAACGAACTGAAAGCCGGCACAAGTCCGCAGTCGTTCGCGCAACAGTTCAAAGTTTTGAGGGCCCGCTGCCAGTGCCAATATCGGTATCGGTATCTGGTAGCCGGGGAAAGAAAACCAAGGCCCGATCGGGCTACTCCTCGATCGCCAGGTCCAACTCGGGGCTGTCCGCGACCACGACGACGACGACGACGACGACAACCAGATCTCTGATCTCTCGAAAAAGCTGCAAGTTTTTGCTGCCGTCCGACTGTTTTGCCTACACTTCGAGGCCATCACCAGTGTCTGGGGAACAAAAAGCGTTCGGCACAGATCAAATTGGAATTACATTGCTGACTGGTCCCGATATCGAGGAAGGGTATCGTGGCATTTTGATGTTGTAAGTTGGCTGGACGAACTGATAGTCTGATAGCTGTGTCGTAGAAAAAAACGCATATATGAGATGGGTTTGAAATGGCGATCGGTTAAGAGTTAATTTGCATATTACAAATCACAATTGTCTTTAAATACCTGTACCATTTTGGGTTTTATAACAGTGCCTTATTCAATATTTCAGGCTATAAAACAACCATTATTTCATAAAATTTTCTTAAATCTTTTAGCTTATTGTCCATTACTATGTTATCACGCTTTAATTTATAGCTTTTATTATGTTTTAAAAATAAATGTAATAGTTTAGGACCCAGCAATTTAAGGATTTTAAGTTTTCTAACTAAGAAACCTAAAACCATTAAGAAACCGCACACAACTTAAATTTTTATAAGCAAAAGGGATTGATTGCCGAATCCTCCAATGAGTTCGAAAGAGTATCCCCAATTCCATTCCAAGCTTCACCATCACTTGTGGCTGCTGCAACAACAGCTCCCGACATTGGCGATCGATCGCATTTGATATATTTGCTCCTCGAGCTCTGCGACTGTTTGCCAACTGCAGTTTTGGATGTGGTGGCAATGGCGTCGTCGTCTCAGCCTCCTGCCTCATGCCTCCTGCCCCTGCCTCCTGCCCCTTGCCCCCTACCTCCAGTACTCTTTGTTGTCCATCCGCTGGCGATTGTTGTTGCTGCCGCGGAATGAGCCTGAGATGTTGCTGGTAGCCGCTGCAACTGCATCGGTTGCAGCAATTGCCGCTGCCTTGCTACACCTTCGCAAAAGTCGGCAGAGGATGGTGATGGAGCATGGGGAAAAGGGGAGAAGGGGAAAGGGGAGGAGGGGGATGGAGGCTGGAGGACGAGGCCAATCTTCGAATGCGCCCCGGTCTCCTCGCAGTGTTTATGTCGTTTATGTGAAATATCAGCTGCTCATGTCGAGAATGTTTTTGCTGCCTTGTTGCTTCTGCCACTTTTTGTGGCGGCTCCGTGTTGGTGTTGCTGCATTCGGCTCAGCAGCGTTTTGTTTATGGCATTGGCGGCCATTGGTCAGCGATTGGCTGCCGCTTGAGTTTCAAATCTTAACACTCCGATCGCCGAGCGGCCATAAAGTAAATTATAGCAACAACGGCGGCATCGTTGGCGGAGAATTGTAGGGGGCAGAATCTAACAATTTTGTATGCATACAATTGCACTACATTCTGGACTTTTGCACTTCATAAAATTTTAAATATATACGAATACGGAAAGGCATTTGCCAATAACACTGATTGAGTGTTGGCTTGGCCTGATTACTGGGCTTATTTGCATATGTTAATGTGCGTTCCAATTAAGATTCCTATTACTTAAACAAAAAGAATGTAAAAAAATTAATTATATAGGAAGCAAAATTAGAAGGTGGCAAATTTGTAGGAGCTGAAAATTATATCTAATGATCGTACACTGAGAGATTTAGAAAAAAAGTGGCTGTGTTCGACGAATTCATATTTTTAGGCTAAATGATCCTTATCTTAACCAATTATTGGAAGGGAATAGACATCTTTATAAAATTAAGTTTTAATAAATTTAAAGTTCAAAATCTGATTAATAAATATTTTTAAATCAATATTTTCCTTAAATAAAAGCCCTTAAGTGTAGATTTAATCGCACTTGATTATGACACATTCAGTATATTTTATCATACGTAAAGAAAATAGTTAATTAAAGGAATTTTAAGAATTGAATAACTAGTTTAAGTGGTTGTTATCGATTTTATAAAACTAAAATTAAAATTTAGAAATATTAAAAGAGAAAAAAATTGATTCAATGATTTTACAAACTGTGCTCAAGCCTGCCACATTTATAAGTATTAGGTCTTACGTTTTAATCCTGTAGAAGTGGCTTAAGGAGTATATCCAATGCTCAACCCCCAAACAGTTTCAAGCTCTTTACTTTTTCTAACAAAAAGAAAAAATTAATACGAACATTTCCATATGTTTCTTTTTAAGATATCCTTGAACCAAGCAAATACAGATAGTCAATTCTTCTTATGTTTAAAAAAAAATAAGTAATAAAAAATGGGCTTTTTTATTTACTTACTTATTTATTATAAATTAAAACGTTCATGGTACTCATTTGCTTATGACTTGGTTCCACCCACACTTTTTTTCCGTCCACGAGTTCCCCGATAACGTGCACTCACTGAGCTACCTGGTAAGGTTGCCTCAAATTGTGGTAAACAAAACGCCTTCTCTTAGTCAAATGCCCTTGAAAAGCATCGCAGATTAATTAGGCGCACGACCGACGCGCAGAAAAGTCAAACTAGGATTTGTCTATGTATTTTTAGCTACCTGCCACAACTTTCACCGGGTTACATGGCCGAATCCCGATCCCAGGTAATCCGCACTAATCCATCAAGAAGGGGCCGTCGTAATGTTGGCAAATGCGATTTTCCCGGCAACTGCAGCACTGTCAAAATATTTCCAGGCCGATTCCCCGTGGAGGAACGTGTGTTGGCATAACAGTTGCACATTTGCATCCCGTGTCCGATGGACAACAATGAGGCAAAGTCAGGACGGCGATCTGATTTATGGGCTGCAGAATTTCACTTTCGATGCAGTTGCAGTTCATCACTAGGGATTGATTTGACGTGCGGGCCCAGGCCTGTTCTATAGTTCGTTCCTTTGTGATCCGTCTGTTTTCCGGGCTAGTCTTTCCGCTTTCCCTCGTAAATCACTCAAGCACTAAGTCTCCTGCTTGACGTCTTCCGTCAAGACAATGAAAATGTCGTGGGTCTGGAGCGCTACCGAAGTGAAAGTGTAGCTCACAACTAACCCGTGACGAATTTCGTAAAATTCCTTTGTCGGGTTCCGGGGGTAATTAGAATTGTTTTTGGTTATATTTATGTGGGAAGGTTAAGATTTCTATATGGTATCTTTACAAATTGATCCAATAAAATGTATATTTGTGAAGGGACAAGTCAAGAGTTTATATATATACTTTTAGAATATGTAGGTACAAACACATTTAATACTTAATTTGTTTCAACGAAAGACCTACAATTTTTGTATGATAAGTTTTTGATTTAGGTAATGTTTTATGCTTCTTGTATACCTGATTTTCTATCAAGCAAAAAATTATTATTATTTTTCTGGAATAAGCCTAAATAACATTTTCAATAAATTGGTGATACGGACTAAACTAAAATCATTTGCCATGCATTTTCCGCTCCTCCGTGCACCTGTTGTTGTATTTGTTTTCGGTTGCTGTTTGTTTTGGATTTTGTTTTATGTCTTAAATATTTTTGACAAACAATCGCCGGCGGTTAATTTTAATTGGATTCTGACAAAACACCGGCAACAAAAACAGCAGTCGTCTGCAAACTGAGCAAATTCAACAAAAATGAACGACCGCCACAGCAACAACAACAAAATCCTTTTAATAAAATTAAACATCAAACATGGCGTGGAATTTTTTGTCGTATTACGCTGACAGGCGCAGGATTTAAATTAAAAACACGCCAAGTCCACAACAACAGCCGAGGCGAAGATCAAAAGGCATCAAAAATTGTTATATGCCAAGAGGCAGAGGTAAATCCTCTGCCCACCCACCCATCCATCCACCCACCCATCGACCCACCCACCAAAGCAAGACGAAAAATCGCACCGATAAACTTTTGCCAACGTCGACGGCGGCGAAACGGAAACGGAAATCGACGCGCAAAAGGTTGCAGGTGTCATGTGACAAGGTCGGTGGCTGTGGTGGGCCTGCCACGCGCACAAGTTCGCGCAGGTTACGGTGGGCGGTTGGCGGGGTCAATGGGGGTTTTCTGCCAATTGATTAAGCGTGCGTTAAAAACGCAAACGCAGCTCCGAAAAAAAAAACCAAAATCAAATCAAAGTGTTGAAGCGGCTAAGATGCTGAGCGGTGCGGGGCGTTGGGCCGGAATGGGTTAAGGGTTGCTCGGCGACCTGCAGGTGAACGGGGTTAATTTGTTGCGTCTCCGGGCATATGGCGGCCTCTCGTTCTCCCTTCCCAAGAATTAGTCCCCAAGGCTTACAACAGAAATCATTAAAAAAGTTCAACGAGTTGTCTGGCCCTAAATTAAGGACAAAGAAAGCGCTCGAGAGAAAGAGAAAACACAGAAACAATTGAGTCGAAACGCCAGCGGCGGCTGCAGGTAAGGTGCTGGTGGTATGAGTTGAGGGCCCCTCGTTGGGCGCCATTTAAGTGGGGGTGGTGGTGGTTTGAGCTGAGGGTCCCTCGTTGGGCGCCATTTAAGTGACAGCCATGCCATAATTTTAAATCGCGAGCTTTTCGAGTATCGAAGCCAAAGTCGAAAACGAAAGGCGAACGAAAGAATAAAG